CTTTCCATAATTAATATGTTTTAACTTTAGCTAGAACAAGATATTAACTTATTTCCTTCATTATTGATTGACATCGACTAGACACTTTAATGATGCTAATTAAAAGTCTAAGTACGACACCATTTTTAAGAAGATTATGACCAAATTTTTATTGTGTTATCATCCGAGCCACTAAAGATTTAATCTTCAACTTTAGGTGTTAGTACAATACAATTGATTATAGATTTATGATCTTTTAATTTTATGATGAATTTTCGATTTGAAATTAGACTGGCAGGCCATAGAATTAATGAGGAATCTTCTGATCCAGAAATGACATTTTTATTCTTTACGAAGAAATTTAGAACAGTTATCAAAGTTTAATGTCCTAAAAGTCTTTATATAAATTTCATTGTATTATTCTTGAAATAAAAAACTTTCAAATGCTCTCCAGAACCAAAAAATAATAATTCTTTGTTTTAATTCATGCACGCAGCCAAATTTACATCAGTTTCCCCTTTTTATATTATAGGATTTTGATTGAAAGGGTAATCTTCGAATATTTTCTACATATATTTTAAAAATAATATTAATTTATTATAAATTATTTGGAATTATAATTATCAGAATTTCATTTCTTCATCTGTTAATTAGCTATAAAAGTGAGAAATCGAAGTACTTAAGTAGGATTTTATGTGCTGTTGAATTTAAATAAATAAATCATTTCATTTTCATATACAAATTTTAACAAATTAGTATCAAAAATAACAATGAAAATTTAAAGATTAATATGGTCTATTAAAGCAATTAATTTCTATTTTTTGTTCGTATCATCCCCAGCTGCAATAATTGTTAGACAACTTGGTGCAAGGAAATACAGTTTTCTTTAGGAGAACTCACTTCTATTAATTCTTCAGGGATATGATTAACTATATCCTGTTATGAATATTAAATTTCACGTACTATCGATAATTACAATAAATGCTATTCAATACAGTAAACAGAGGACAATTATAATTGAGCTTAAATTAGAACAAAGTAACACTATTCTCTTTAGTGTAAAATAGAAAGGCATAGGTATTCCAAAAGATGAACTATTTGAAGTTTTTGATCCATTTACTGTTAGTTCAAAACTAAAACTCCCACAAGTGGAAAACTAGAGGGCTTACCGTATCTAAACAAGCAATTGAAGCTCATAGTCACATAGTGATTTCTTTTACACCCTTATTAGTTATAGTCACTGGTATTGTATCTTCAGCCTTATTTATTATTGTTTCTCCTATATATGTATTTTTCGGAACAGATCTAGTCTAAATAGTGTGCATTATTTAGGATATAAAAAGTTTACGTCTATTATTGTGTATCTAAATTTTTTCAAATAATTCGGCCAGCTTTTCTATTATTTCAATATCATTTAGAGAAGGAGTAAAAGGAACATATATTATATACGCTATTAATAAAGAAATCTTAAGTTTTTACACTCCTACTTGTATATCTATTATCAATACATCATAATTTTTGGAATCTTCAGTAGTAGTATAATTATCATAAAAGAAATAGAATGTAAATGAAAAACAAGTAGATAAAAGAGTGGATATCAAATCCTTCAAAAAGTGTACTTTGAAAGATGAAATGTTGATATGTCTTACTACTAAAAGATAAAAGGGATCAGAAAATTATGTTATTAGTGCAGAATTATTCTGCTTTGTCTCAAATAAAACGGCCATT